ATATATATATATATATATATATATATATATATATATATATATATATATATATATATATATATATAGCCATTTAACAATAGCTATTAGAAGAAAAAAAGGAAAAATTACATCTAGTTTCTTTAAATTATGATGTTTGGTCATTCACCGGAGCGTATGGAGAAAACCGATTTTCGACCGACATTGATTAATAAGAAATATGGAAGAGAAAAAACCTTAATCAAGAACTTGAGAAAAGCAATAAGGATAATGAATTAGCAAAATACATATTATCCTAACGATTCGATGCGTAAAGTTGAATTCCAACTAGAGAAAGTGTAATCGATTCAAGCAAACTGTAGACACAAACACATACCGATGGTAAAGGGCATTGGTGATGAGGCGTCGCTGAAATGGAGGCAGTCTCCGGAGTCGGATGATGAACCAAATCCCTTGATGAAGGTATCAAAACCCTCGATTCACAATGGGATGAGGTCGGTTCACAGTGAAATTAAATCCCTTGAAGCAAAATGCTGGTAACGGTGGGTGAAGTAAGACACCACGGTGAGAACTTGAGTCTTGAGAGGGATGGTTCCGGTCACGATAAACGATTTTAAAGTTTTGTTTTTCAATAGGTAATAACTCTACGGAAACTTTATATAAAACATCCATGTAAAATAAAAGTTTGATGAAGCGATGTAAAATGAGAGAAAAACAGGGACAATAGGTAAAATAAAAAATAGATGAAAAAGTTTAGATACAACGGGTAGGAAATTTTTTAATGTTTAACAAGGTTTGTGGTTGTTTAGTTATTCTTTTAAAATAAATGAATTAAATAAAAAACTAGGGACCAAATATGATAAAAATAATTTGAAAGATCAAACTAATAACGATGTATAATAAAAAAAATATATAATTTTTTTATGATGTTAATTCACTCTTAGCAGTTGAAGTTATAATTTTTTGTACTTTTAAATAAAATAAGAAAAAGTTCATTATTTAACAACTTAAAAGATTGGGTGACAAACTTTTTTTAGAACAGTGACTTATACGTACTTTTAATTGTTCTTATTTTATCTATTTGCCTAGAACAAAATTTGGACTTGAGTAAATGATTATGATTTTTAAAGTTCATTAGTGTTTTTTTATATTAATTAAAAAACGATTATATATTTATTATATTATCATCATTTTTAACTTGTCATATGTCAAATATCTTAAATTACAAAATGTAAATTTGATATATATAACGGTTTATAATTTATTTGATATTCATAAGGATTTATATATTTATTGTAAAATAAAATTATAAACTTACTCCCATAACTCTATCTTATAAATTAATAAAAAGAAATTTCAAAATTTTGATTAGTTATTACAATTTTAAATTATAAAATATTGTTATTTTTCATCCGTGGTTTTTCCACTGGTTTAAAACCTAGTTTAACAATATAAAAATCCAAGTGTTACACGTATCATTGTTAACATGCATGTGCAGAGTTAGGTCGAGAATACATGAACACCAAAGGAATATGGTTACTAATTGTTCGGTAGGAAAAACATCAATAAACTAATTTTACTAGTCTATAAATAATGACAACATTCATAGGAACTCTTCACTAAAGACGTTGTTTATACACAGTCCAACATCATTTTTACTCTCATTTTTTATATATATTCTTCATCCCATTTATTATTTTTCACTTCTTCCAATGGCGAAGGCAAATATGGTTCTATGATTGAACCCTATTTACCTTCACCATTGGTAGAAGCCGAAAAAAATAAATAGGATGAAGAATGTACATTAAACGAGAGTAAATAAGAAGTTGGACTATATAAACATCTTTAATGAAGACTTCGTAGGTATGATGTCATTATTTATAGATTTGTCAAAGTAATTTATTTTTGGGAAAATGTCATTTTAACCCAATGAATTTGTCAAGTTTGTTATAAAAGGTCAATCGCATAATTTTTTATACATTAAGGGAACATAGTCCGATTTTGCTGTTTTAAAATGTCCTTATTTAACTTGCTACCAGGTTACGAGGTAAAATGTGTGCCATTGTGTTGCTGAGTATACAAGGATGTTTTTGACTGTCCAGGTAGGTGTGTTACTCAGTTACTATACCCAAACATGAATCGATGAACCAAAAGGGGACATCACCCCAAAATTGAGGATTTCGCGTCACTGCTGCATTTACCCACCACCATCAGTCAACTCCATGATCAAATAATGTTCATTATCTAACAAACCCCTTCTACTTCCTTTTCGTTTTCTGCTTCGTGTTCGTTTTTAATTTCTAAACGACCGATTTAGAGTTTGCTCCTCCCACAACAGAATCCCTTAAAATCTGATACTGATGGCTATAGATTTGCTCCTCCTCGAAACCGGAATTCCGAGTGTAAATCACGCCTCTTGTGGTGGTGTTGCTCTTGTCATGAACAGTATAGGTCAACAACAACAAGCTCCAAGTGGAACATCGCTTCTTCTGGCTTCAGCTGGAACTGTTGAATAGAAACGTTAAGAATCTTCCATATGATCAATAGAACTTGGAGAAATATTCGTTGAAATCGGGAATGAAGTCATGAATTTCAAATGTTCTTTCGGCGGCAAGAGATGTAGCTTTCAGGATCTCTTTTTGAGCTTGTAGTCTTGCTAACGATCTTGATCTTCCTAAACTCTTGTCTTCAATGTCAATGGAGTCTGAAGAATCGATAAGTTGGGTTCTAATGAGACACCCATCTTCAGATGCTTGTTCCAGAGCTTCTCTGAGTTTGTTTTCTTGTAATTTTGAAGAACTATTCTGTTGATTTATTCATGGCTGCGATCTTTTTTTTTTCTGTTCTTTTATTCAGAAATTAAAAAGGAACAATGGAATATGAATGGTTTTCAGAGTGAAATATGGGTGAATGGTAAATCAATAAGATGAAAGATGATTGAAATATGAATAAGAATATGGCTTTTTGGTGTTCTTGAGTTTTTTTTTTTTTTAATTGTTTATCCCATTTAATTTCCATTGAAAAGCAGCATAAAAGACTGAACAAGCTAGGGCGCGTTGAGGGGGTACGTACCCAAACTCATCATAACACGTCATTTTGTTTGATATATTCATTATAATGTTCTTAAACTTACACCCTAACTTGATTTACTTTCAAGATTTTTGAAATTTCACTATTATCTTTCTCTTACATCACATCTTTTTGCCGAACACCTACTAGGCTATATATATTATAGTTTAAAATGAAAATTATATGAAAGGAAGATAAGTGTGAAATTTATAAAAATCTTGGAAGTAAATCAAGTTAAAAGTTGAATTATAAGAACATTGGACAATTACAATGTATATATATGACACAAAATGACGTAGTATGGTGAGTTTGAGTACCTAAATTATATACCCTTAAGGGTATATTCAC